CTTTTATAAGTAACGAATTCAGAAATACCAAACGAGTCAAGCTTGCTAAATGTTTCTACTAGCTGTCAACCTCCAAGTTTGAGGATTGAGGAGAGAAATTTAGAAGGGGAGCTCTAGGATAGCAATGATAAGCAATAATCTCGATGGCTTACATTTGACTGCTTTCCATGTTCCAGATTCTTTGCATGAATCCTCATTTCACTGAATCAATTTTTCAGAAGAGACCACTGAACCTTAGAGTTGCCTATGGTCACCCAGCTAGTACTTAACAACTGCACAGTTTGTGTTCCCAATCTCTGGGGCTAGGCGCGGGAGATGAATTATGTCTTCTAAAACTGTTGAAACCGCACAGCCCCTCGCCTGCCCCTTGAGGCTCCAGTAGTAACTTTCAAACTCGCCGCTTGTTTTGACGTGGACTCCGCCCACCTTCGCCGGCCTGCTTCCGCCTGCCGGTAAGGAGCGCGCTCGCCATTGGTCGCGATCGCCGCGGTGGTTTGCGATTGGGGAAAACTTGTACGGCCCCGCCCCCTGGCGCTAAGCAGCCGGGAACAAGCATGGCCGCCACCGGGGCTGCCTCTACTGACCTAGGTGCGCCGGGATTGGGGTGGGGGCTGCGTTGCGCGAGTTGCTGGGGAGGTACGAGAGGGCGGGGACTGCGGTGTGTCAGAGGTCCGGCGGACTGGGAGTCGGGGGTCATTTGAGATTGGACTCCTATAGATTTAGGGGACCCCTATGAATGCGGGCGGAGAGTACCGGTTGCCCTGGCTCCTCCACGTTGGGGGTGCGGCTGGCACCCGAACCTCCTTTTTCGAGCCTGAGTCGATCCCCTGGTCTCTTCAGAGGTGGTCCGAGGCAAGCGCTCCGCCCTCTTCTTCGCTGCGGTGGCCATCGTGCTGGGGCTGCCGCTCTGGTGGAAGACCACCGAGACTTACCGAGCCCCGCTGCCTTACTCTGAGATCAGTGGGCTAAATGCCCTGCAGGTGAGCCCTCGGTGGGGAAGGTCGCGGGCAGCCCACCGGCAAGCTGAAGACTCCACCCATGACACTAATGCTCCTTCCCAAAGCTCCGGCTCGCGGTGCCAGTCGCTGTCGTCTTTACCCGGGAATCGCTGCCTCTGGACGACCAGGAGAAGCTGCCCTTCACCGTTGTTCATGAGAGAGAGATTCCATTGAAATGTAAGTTCCTGGGTCATCGGGCTTCCCTTTCAGGTCTCAGCTCTATCCAGAGATGGGTTGTGTAGGAGCAGCGTGGGTGCTAACAAGTTAAAAACTTAAAAAAAAAAAAAAAGAGATTTATTTACTTATGCATACGGAACTGGGGTACAGGCCTGAGATGCAGGAGCGGTGAGAGGATTCACCAGAGACAGAGTGGGGAGCAGAACAGGCCGACTGAGGAAGTAGTCAAGAGAGGTCTGCTATGCCCTGTGGATCACCTCCAGAGCCGGGATCAAACTCATACTGAAGTGGCTTTAACTTATTTAGTGCTGTGCTTTAATCTGCTACACCACCAGAGAGGGCCTAAGTTAAAAACATTTTTTAAAGGACTTCTCCCAATGAACATGTGTTTGGTTAGGAGAAAAGCCATTTCAAACTCAGTATTCACCAATAAAGCAGTAATCTTATTAATAAAACGGTCGTGCAACCTGATCAAAAGCAGTCGATGCTTCACTAGGAAATAGGGGAAAGAAATAGGATGTAGTGGAAAGAATAGCGTTTGGAATCAAGCTGGATTTGTGTACAGGCTTTGTTCAGTTTGTCAGTAAACTCTTTACTAAGAGTTAGAAACTGTTGTTAGGTACCAGGAATTTGGAGGGAATGAATGAGAAATTGCAAATGGTTTCAAGAAATCCATAAGTAGGTAAGAGAGAAAGGCACATAAATCACAGATGTATATAAGAAGCAGGGATTGCACCTGGAGAAAAAACATTTAACTTTGGGAGGAAAGAAAGGCAGAGGTTGTAATATTTTTTTAAAAGATTTATTAATTTTTTTTACAGATTTATTTATTTATGCATACAAGAACTGGGGTATAGGCCAGAGGTGCAGGAAGTGAAAGAATTCACTAGAGACAGAGTGGGGAGCAGAGCAGGTGAACTGATTGAAATACACTGCTGAGGGGAGCAGTAGGTGGGTCAGGAGAGGTCTGCCAGCCATGTGGGTCAGCTCCCTTGCTGGTAATTGAACTCATGTTGCAGTGGCTGCAGATAGCTTCATAGTCCTGTCCTCTAACCCATTGTGTCCTCTTCCACCAGGGAGGGCCCTTAAAGATTTATTTATTTATGCATACAAGAATGAGGTGCAGGCCAGAGGTACAGGGGCTGGGGGAGAGAGGATTCACCAGAGACAGAGTGGGGAGCAGAACAGGCAGATTGACTAAAATTACACTGCTGAGGGGAGCAGTGGGTGAGACAGGAGAGGTCTGCTGTGCCATGTGGTCAGATCTCCTGGCTGGGGATGGAACTTGTGCTTCAGTGGCTGAGGATAGCTTCATAGTGCTGAGACTTAACCTCTTGTGCCACTAGGGAGACTGTATTTTTTTTTTTTTAAAGATTTATTTATTTGTGCATACAGAACTGGGGTACAGGCCAGAGGCTCAGGGGCGGTAAGAGGCTTCACCAGAGACAGAGTGGGGAACAGAACAGGCAGATCAACGAAGTACACTGCTGAGGGGAGCAGCGGGCGGGCCAGGAGAGGTCTGCCACGCCATGTGGTCACTTCCGGGGCAGGCGGGAATCGAACTCATGTGGAAGCGGCTTTAGATTCTAAGTGCTATGCTCCAACCCGCTGCGCCACCAGGGAGGGCCGGAGACTGTATTTTAAAGTTCCTAGTTAATCTTTTACCTGATGGCTTTAGCATTCATTGGTGCTGAAATTCATTTCATTAGCAGTTGTGATTTTTTAAATTCTATTATTTCTTCTGTGTTTTATGGAATTCTTGAATTTTTCAAATAAAATTTTAGGTTCAGTTTGTCATATTTCAGGGCAGCAAAGTATTTCTTTTGGCATTGCCTTACAGTGTGTAGGTTAACTTGGGGAGAATGAACATTTATAGACTCTTTAGTCTTTCCATCTAGGAGTTGTATGCTTTTCTCATTTTCTTTCAATCCATGCCCTTCAGTAAAGTCCCTTGTTTTTCCTTTTTTAGAGTCTTGCACATTTGCTCCTATCATGGAGATTTTGAAAAATGATTGCTTTTCTATCAGATATTGCTGGTTTATTAGAAAGCTATTGATGTTTTATTTTTACATCTAGTCATCTTACTGCACTGCTACTATTGTAGTAGTTTTAGTTTTTTCAGTTGGTCCTCTTAGCTTTTTCTTTTAAATAATTAACTACTTCAGAAGCGGCTATTTAACCGCTTTCTTGTATTTCTCTTTCTTCTTATATTGGTCAGGAATGTCAGAAAGAACAATGCTAAATGAGGAGAGGGTAGGGACCTTGTCTGCTTACTGACTTTATTGGAACTATATTTACTGTTGTTTTGTTTTTATCAGGATTGCTCCTTGGATTTAATTTTGGGGGCAGCAATTAAAATGATCATATAATTTTTCTCCTTTCATCTGTTACTGTCATGGATATCATAATAGACTTCTCTGTTGGGAGGTACCTCAGGCTGAGGGTAGTGTACACACAGTCAAAGGAAAGAGCTGGACAGGTGGAAGATAGATGGGATTTTGTGTGTTTAACATCCTTGTAGAGAGCATTGGAATCGGTTCTGACTTCCTGGTTTTTCTCTGTGAACAATCACTTTGCTGTCCTCAGCCACTGGATATTGTTAGTATTAGGGCTGGAAATGTTGGCTGAGATCTGAATCATGCTTTTCCCATTATGCTTCTGCCCTTCTCAGACAAAATGAAAATCAAATGCCGTTTCCAGAAGGCCTATCGGAGGGCTTTGGATCATGAGGAGAAAGCCCTGTCCTTGGGCAGCGTACAAGGTACCAGAAGGGGTGATCATACTATTTGAACATGAAGCCCCTTTTTCCCTTCTGATCTTTTAATGTATAGTTTCCAGCTGTGGGTAAGCAGGGAAAGAAATACCTTGTATTTCAGCCTGCATCACTGTCTGGTATATGGAGGGGGACACTTGGGGAGAAGGACTGATTTTTTTGCTCCTGGTATACTACCTGTTCTTGTTCTTAGAGGCAGAATCCATGTTAACTGAGCCACAGGAACAAGCAGCTGGCTCCCTGACTGTGTACGTGATCCCTGAGCACTCTTCACTTCTTCCGCAGGTAGGCTGAGCAGAGACTGGCTGCAACCCAGCCCTTTCTCTCCTGGGTCACCTCCTTGCAGCCTTGCAATCCATTTTTTCCATTTGCTGTAGAAAATTCTCCAGCAAGTAGGGATTTACTCACTGACTCTGCAGCTTTCTTTCTTTCTTTTTAATAAGATTTATTTACTTATGAATACAATAACTGGTATGTAGGCGAGAGGTGGGGGGAGAGTCACCAGAGACAGTGAGGAGCAGAACAGGCAGATTGACTGAAATACACTGATGAGGGGAGCAGTGGTGGGTTAGTTCCCTGGCTGGGGATCGAACTTATGCTGCAGTGGCTGCGGATAACTTCATACTGCTGAGACTTTACTCCTTGTACCACCAGGGAATCCCTTAACTTTGGAGCTTTCTAATTCCAAGACTTGTATATAATTAAATCTCCAATGACCATTTAAAGTAGAATAAAATCAGAATTAAAAGAAAGAAGCTGGTTTGAATGGGTTGTGTCATAGTCAGGTGATTTATTCACCTTTTTACTTTATGAGCAAAAGCCTCAGTACTAAATGCCATTTTCTTTTCAAATTTATAATGTATGAGATATTTAATTATTATAAAATGATGAAAGAACATTTTATTTATTTTTTAATTTTATAATTTATTTTTACAGATTTTTGTGCATTTTTCATAGTCCAGTGCATTTCCCTCCCCACACTGTTTCTGATCCCATTCCCAACTCTACCCCCACAAAATGTCTCTGGTATATAGCTGTTCATCATTATCATTTTCTCGCCGGGTCTGTTATATCCCTGCTAAGAGAGAAACCATCCGGTATTTTTCCTTTTCTTTCTGGCTTATTTCACTAAGCATGATCTTCTCCAGCTCCATCCATGTTGCTGCAAAAGGCATGTGGTTTTTTTTTGGTTGCTGAGTAATATTCCATTGTGTATATGTACCACATCTTTTTAATCCAGTCATCTACTTTTGGGCATTTGGGCTGTTTCCATGTCTTTCCAAGCATTTTATTTATTTTTTAAAGATTTATTTATTTATGCAATACATATGTTGTATCTCCATAAACAATATACTTAGTTTTACATATTTTGAACTTTATATAAATGGTATAGTACAACTTTTGTTTATCGTTTTTTTGTTTGAGAGATTCATCTATGCTCATACATTAAACCGAATGTGCTCTTTTTAAATTCTGTTGAATGTTTAGTAGTACAAACATATCACTTTTTACCCAGTCTGTTGCTGACAGGCGTTTGGATTGTCTCCAGGCTTCACTACTGGAAATAATACTGCTGTGAACATTCTTGTGCTTGCCTCTGCCATGTGCCATTTACTCCTGTCAGATTTTCCAGTTGCTGTTTACTCTGCTTTTCTTGCTCAGCATGCCATCTTTCCCACAGAGAAGATTTAGATTTTGTCTGGATTTCTTTGTCTGTTGGGAAAGAGCATGGGCTGTTAATGAATAAAGCTCAAGTACACAAGCTCAGAAATGTAATTGGGAGTTCACTATGAATCTAAAGACAGGTGCAGGCCTGTGGTCTGGCCCGAAGGCCAGAGTCTCAGACAGGGGCCCCAGTGCTCTTCTTTTTCCTTCCCTGAGCCATAGGACTCTCTTGCTTGTCCTCCACAGGACACGTTGAGCTACATTGGGCCCAAGAGGACTGCGGTGGTGCGCGGGATTGTGCACCGCGAGGCCTTTAACATCATTGGCCGCCGCATAATCCAAGTAGCCCAGGCCATGTCTTTGACTGAGGATGTGCTTGCTGCAGCCCTGGCTGACCACCTCCCAGAAGACAAGTGGAGTGCTGATAAGAGGCGGCCTTTGAAGTCCAGCTTGGGTAGGGAATGCAGGCTCTGCCTTGGGAAGGGAGAGGGAAAGCAATTCTGGGGCGGAGGGAATCTGCATATAAACTCTGGACTCCTTTCTGCTCTGGTCTCAAGTTTTGTTGTTGTTGTTTTTTCGTTTTTAAGGAGGTAAATTTTTCTCCTTAAAGACTTATTTATTTATGTATCCAGAACTCGGGTACAGGCCAGAGGTGCAGGGGCAGTGAGAGGATTCCCCAGAGACAGTAGGGAGCAGAGCAGGCAGATCAGTGAAGCGCACTGCTGAGGGGAGCAGGGTGGGTCAGGAGAGGTCTGCTGCACCCTGTGGGTCACCTCCGGGGCAGGGATCAAACTCGCACAGAAGTGACTGCAGCTTGCTTGCAGTGTTGAGCTTTAGCCCACTGTGCCACCAGGGAGGGCCTCAAGTTGTTTTTTAAGGCACTCAGTGTTCATCCCAGGTTTATCCTCCCTTTGGTTCTACACAGCCCCTTTCTATATGGGTTCTATGTGGGTTCAAGCAGCCCCATTCTAAAGAAGAAACAGCCAGGGGAACAGGCTGCCCCTCTTCTTTAGTCCACAGAAGCCTGTGACCTCCTGGACTTCTGTCTTGCAGGCTATGAGATTACCTTCAGCTTGCTCAACCCGGATCCCAAGTCCCACGACGTCCACTGGGACATCGAAGGGGCTGTCCAGCACTATGTCCAGCCTTTCCTGAACGCACTCAGTGTCGCGGGCAACATCTCTGTGGACTCTCAGGTGAGCCAGGGATGAGCTGAGGAATCCCTGGCTGCATGCCCCTCAGTGCTGGTTTGCAAGGCACTTCCTTTGTGTGTCTGGTTCTGGTGTCTGGTTTCCCTCTTTGGTGTCCACCTCTGCGAGTTTCATCAGTGCTTGTTAAACTAACTTCCTCGAGAACTGTGTTTGCCCATTATGCTATCCTTAAAGGAATTTATTTTAGAAAACAAAAAACCCTGAAATAGACTCATGTAGTAACAGCGAAGATGTGAAGAATGCGGCTTTCTGTATCACACAGTGTCCTTTTAGGGGAAACGTGGGAGAAATTTTTGTTAGGTCTTAGGAGTGGGAGTAATTACTTCTGAATAGTTGGCTTGATTTGATCTTTTGGGTGCTGAAGTCTGCTGTTCTTTGTTTAGGCTGTTTGAAAGCCTGGTAAACTGTGTGGCTTTCCAAGCATGTAGTTAGTATACTGAACTTTACCCTTAACATCTGTATTTGTTCCCCTATACCTAATTTGACTCAGCCCTGATTGTGTATCTTATATTTTTCCCTGTCCCAATTGTGTCTTTTTTTTTAATGTACTTCATATCTTTTGTGGGACAAAGTGGTATATAAAGCAGTAAAATAATCTCCCTCTTTGCAGATCCTTTACTATGCAGTGTTGGGGGTAAACCCTCGCTTTGACCCTGCTTCCTCCAGCTACTACTTGGCCGCACACAGTCTTCCCCATGTCATCAACCCAGTGGAGTCCCGGCTGGGTGAGCTCTTGAGGAGTTCGGGAGGGACGCTGAGGCTTCAGCCTGGAGTTGGAGGCGTGTTGTATAGAGTGACGGTTCCTGGTCTGGGTTGGCCTGAGGGCGTTAAAGGAGTACAGGACATTTAGGCTTCCTTTTCATGATGTTCTGTTGACATTTGCTTCTCCACATCATGTTCCCAAAGCATTTATTAAGCGTGCTTCCCAGCACTTTTCAGAAATGAATGGATAGACTGTGTCTTCCTCCCTGACAGTCACTCAGGAAAGATGTAGTCACATGTGGGAAAGACCATGACAGAAGTACATGAAAACAGAATTGAATTGACAATTCTGCTGAGGAACCTTGATACTAGGATTCCAGTTTTTCACTTTTGGGGTGAAACCTAGGAAGAGTAGATGTGACCAGGAGCTGTCGTACAGAGAGACCAAAGTGAGTATATTACTGATTGTGGAGTTGCAGGCTTGTAAGGACTCAAGAGGCCTCCACAAATTGCTTTTCTTTCGTTTATTCAACAGACATTGGCCAACACTGCTTTGTGCCAGTGCTGAGTTCAGAGATATAGAAGGGCACTTCCAGCAAGGGAACTGTGAATTCAGTGTAGAAGAGTGAGTGTGCATGGACATTCAAGAAGGCCAGAAAAGTTTAGTGGTCTGAATTGTAAGGGAGTAACCAAAGAGGAGGCGGGCAAGATGGGCAGGTACCAGCTCAGAAAGGACCACATAAGTGCCTGAACTTTATCTTGGTGTGAATAGCTAGCCATTGAAGGATAGGGAGCAGGGAACTGACATGAAGGCAGATGTATACCTGTGCATAAACTAGTTACAGTAATATGAGTACCATGTGGTAGTGGCAGAGAAAAGCTATCTTAGTCAAGAGTGGGTGGGGTGTTTCAGGGACATTTGGGGGATAAGGACTGTATTTGATCTTTGGAAGAATATTCAGAGGTTCTTTACCACAGAAACCTAGAACTGGATGACATCCTAGTGATTATCAGCTGGGAAACAGACCCGAGTCAGTGACCAGCACGTTAGAAGCTGCCCTGGAAGACCAGGATCCAGCATGCTTTGGTGTTCTGACACCCTTCTCCTTTTGTCCCACAGGATCCAGTGCTGCCTCCCTTTACCCAGTGCTCAACTTTCTACTCTATGTACCTGAGCTTGCCCACACCCCCCTGTATATTCAGGACAAGGATGGAGCTCCAGTGGCCACCAACGCCTTCCACAGTCCCCGCTGGGGTGGCATTATGGTAATGGTCACACTCTGCTGACCCCAGACGTTTGGGGGACAGACAGATGCTCCCTGAGATTGTCCTCTGGTGTCCCCTGTGGCCCGGCCTTTGGGAGGGACTGGCACCAAAGAGGTGAGAGTATTGTGAGCTCATGCCTCACCGCTCCACAGTATCTGATGTCTGCCAGTGTCTTCTAGAATTTGACCCTGTTGCTTGTAGCAGTTTGCACTTGCTGAGAACTCAGTCTGTGTGCGTTGTCGGTTTTAACCCTTTTGGTGGGAGTTTTGTGAGGTTGGGGTCTTTATCTCCCCTGTTACATTGGGACTTTCTCATGAGTCAGAACTCTAAAATGGAATAAAAATATCTCTTTCATAGGGCTTCTGAGGGGATAATGGAGAAAACTTATTTAAAGCTAATAGCAGGAATCATAAATATTAGCTGTACCATCAGGTTTGCAAATTCTGAGGAGCACAGACTATGTCTTCCTTTTTGCTCGTGGCCTCTGGGTGTCTAGGGGAGAGCTGTGCATAGTCCTGGTGTGATGTGACAACTTCCTATCCCCTCCAGGTGTACAATGTGGACCCCAAAGCCTACAATGCCTCAGAGCTTCCAGTGAGAGTTGAGGTGGACATGGTGCGGGTGATGGAGGTGTTCCTGGCTCAGTTGCGGTGAGGTCCTGGGTCTACCATATTCTCCTGAGCTGACTGAAATGAAATCTTACCTGCCTTGGCTGTGTCCAGAGCGCCAGGGAAACTAAAAACATTTCTGAGGATCTTCATCCTCCTAAAATAGAAGATGCTGACAAACTGTTTAAGAAAAATAGACACATGAATATCTGGTCCATTGGGTGAGTTAGGCCAGAGGAATGTGAGAAGATTCACCAGAGACAGAGTGGGGAGCAGAACAAGCAGATTGACTGAAAAACACTGCTGAGGGGAGCAGCAGGTGGTACAGGAACCCCCAGTCAGTGTTTCCTGGCTGGGGTTCGAACTCATGATGTAGTGGCTGTGGATAGCTTCACAGTGCGACACGTTAACCCATTGCACCAACAGGGAGGGCCCTCGAAACTGTTAATTCTTTTTTTTTTTTTTTAAGATTTATTTATCTGTGCATACAGAACTGGGGTACAGGCCAGAGACTCAGAGGTGGCAAAAGACTTCACCAGAGACAGAGTGGGGAGCAGAACAGGCAGATCGACTGCAGAGGGGAGCAGCGGGCGGGTCAGGAGAGGTCTGCCGCACCTTGTGGTCACCTCCGGGGCAGGCGGGAATCGAACTCATGCGGAAGTGGCTTAAGCTTCTTAGTGCTGTGCTTTAACCCGCTGCGTGACCAGGGAGGGCCCAAACTGTTAATTCTTAAGCTAACTGATTTGTTGCTAGCGACTACCTGCAGACCTATGTTGAAGATTCTAGGACTGTGTCTAGGCTTTTCAGGAAAAAAAGCCTTTCATAGGTTCAGGATTAGCGAGGCACAGAATGCATGCCCTGTCAGAGGGAGTACTGGATCATCCCTTAACTCCCAGTGGCCCCGTTTGTCCAAAGAGAGTAGACAGGGTGAGAGGATTAAACTAAGTTGGTGTTATTAGGAGTAATTAGCCATGGGAGCCTTTCCAAACAAGGTCTTAGAAGTCCAGTAGAGGAATAGGTAAAAGTGAAAATGTTGGGCTTGGGATTTAGGGTTGCTTGGTGTTGCTGTTCATCCCCCCAGTACCCCAAAACACTGCCACCTCATGGTTCTGGGTAAGACTAAAAAATCACTTGTAGCTTAGCCATCTTCTCCCACCTGGCCTCAGCTTCCTTGACCTTCGCTGTTCCTACAGGCTGCTCTTTGGGATTGCTCAGCCCCACGTACCTCCAAAATGCCTGTTATCGCAGCCTCAAAGTGAAGGGCTAATGACCTGGGAGCTGGACCGTTTGCTCTGGGCTCGGTCAGTGGAGAACTTGGCCACAGCCACCACCACTCTCACTTCTCTGGCCCAGCTTCTGGGCAAGATAAGCAACATTGTCATCAAGGATGATGTGGCATCTGAGGTAAGTGGGCAGGGGATAGATGCTGTGGTCTAGATCGGAGTGGCCAGAAAGGGCTACGGTGTGGTGCACCAGAGACCCATTGAGGGAGAGGATATGTGTGGGGATTCCTTCTTTCAGTCCTAGACATCCTCTGGAAGGCAGTGCCAGGTCCCCAGTAGGTGGGGGTTGAGGTTTTAAGCAGATGCTAAGAAAATACACCATAGTCCCTGGCTCCATGTATCCTGGTGAATTCTAGGCAGGCTCTCTGATAGATGGAAGGCACAGCGAGCCCCAGCTGTGCCATACCTCCCTTCCCACCCCCAAAGCCTAGGACTTAGCAGTAACCCCATTCCCTTCCCAGGTGTACAGGGCTGTAGCTGCAGTCCAGAAGGCAGCAGAGGAGCTGGCCACTGGGCACCTGGCCTCTGCCTTCGTCTCCAGCCAAGAAGCGGTGACATCTTCAGAACGCGCCTTTTTTGACCCCTCCCTCCTCCATCTCCTCTATTTCCCTGATGACCAGAAGTTTGCCATCTACATCCCGCTCTTCCTGCCTATGGCTGTGCCCATCCTCCTGTCTTTGGTAAAGATCTCCTTGGAGACCCTCAAGTCCTGGAAAAAGCCTGAGAAGACAGACTGAGCAGCACGGCCTCTCATGGAAACCTTCCTTCCCAGCCAGGTGGGAAGTATTAGATTGAGAGGCACATAAACGGAGCCTGTCGTGGATGACTGGTCTGTCTCCAGCTTGCCCTGGCACCTCCAGCAACCAAACCCCGACACTTCAGAATGGACTATTGATTGTCCTTTCCCACTTCTCTATTTCAAATCCCATTCCCCATACTCCATCTCAAGAGTCACATCTGGGTGTCTTTATCCAGCTTGAATGTGAAGGTACTTGCCTCTCTCCCTCAGGGGGCAGAGGCAACTTGCGCTCTGGTCTTGTTCCTCACGGCCCTCTTGCACTGCGGAGCATTAAGGGATAACCTGGGTTGGTTCTATGTACGCCACTCCATGCTACTCCTGGAGCCCTTAGGGAGAGTCCTAGCACTCCTGTCACGGAAGGGCCAGGTGCTTCCCCCCCCCCTCCGCTGGGAATAGCCTGACAGGACTCTAGAAAGTGGCAGCGCAGTTGCTATGTGTGTGCAGCGGCTCCCTTCATCCCTTCACAGAGGCAGTGCGATGATGTGGGATCCGTCGTGCCTGAACTCACACCCTTGCTTCTGCATGCACCACCTGGGAAGCAACTGAACCTCTTTGGGCCTCGGTTTTTATTTGTTAAATGACACTACTAATACCTCACCTTATAATGTGGTTTGAGAATGGAATGTGACAAACTTGTGAAAGTGTTCGGCATATTCTGGGCTCTCAATAAACCGATGGAATGTGAACTGGAACGAAATGAAGTAAGAGCATTTCCTTCACTCCTGTGTACTAAAGGTTTTCTAGAATCTGTCCTCCTGGGCTCACATCACAGGTCCACCTTGCTTCTGTGTGACCACGTGCCCTTTCTGCCTCCCAGTCTGGGGGGTGCCTTTTGGTTGCTAGACACCTAAGCTCTTGTCCCTCAGCATGCCTTGGGTGGCCCAACAAGGCTGTTAGCATCTATTTTTTTCTTAGGGGATCTCTTGTGCCAGCCTAAGCCCTCAGCCACCAACTCATTCAG